TGGTTCTGTAGACACACACACACACACACACAACATCAATCAATCCAGCAATCAATCAACCACTCAACCACGCAGACACTCTTACTTTCAACCAATCAGTCATGCCCTCACTACATCTGCAATTCTGTCTGAGATAATCTCGGTGCCTTTTCTCATCTTGGCACTGTATTTTTCTCTACTTCTCATTGCCTTCATTTTTTTTTGTTTCCTTTACTTTTCTCGCTTTTTCCCAAATGCCTTTTTGTCTGACATTCTCTTGATTTTACTATTTTTTTCATATTGGTTGATTATTTTCTTTTTTGCTAATATGTTTCTCCTTTGGTTCCTTATTATTTATTTATGTCTTCTGTTACTTTGCGTTTCTGTTTCGTTTGATATTTTATTTCTTTACATTTTCAACATTCCTTATTAGAACTGTAGTTTGCATAGAGTGTATTAACTCAATATCATACTTGCAATCAGAAACAACTAATTAATAGATTGAATTTTGTACATTTCATCTTGCTTAATTTTTATGGTTTTTTTCCCACTTTGTAAATTTATCATGAAATCTTGGTTCATTTAATATGCAGTGTGCTTTTTTTTAATTTTACCATTATCACTTTACCTGATTACGTATGATAAAACACAGCACCAACAAAGGGTAATTCCTCAGAGAAAGCGCCTATTTTTTTAAAACTCAACTTCGAATTACAGTCAATCCTGCGGTGAATCACTTGACCTTTAATGTTACAGCCGAACTAATCGATACTGGCAGAGATTCAGTCGACTTTTTTAATCGATCTCATCAACCAGTTCTAATGTTGATTGTTTGATTCATCATCATCATCATCATCATCATCATCATCATCATCATCATCATCATCATCATCATCATCATCATCATCATCATCATCATCATCATCATCATCATCATCATCATCATCATCATCATCATCATCATCATCATCATCATCATCATCATCATCATCATCATCATCATCATCATCATCATCATCATCATCATCATCATCATCATCATCATCATCATCATCATCATCATCATCATCATCATCATCATCATCATCATCATCATCATCATCATCATCATCATCATCATCATCATCATCATCATCATCATCATCATCATCATCATCATCATCATCATCATCATCATCATCATCATCATCATCATCATCATCATCATCATCATCATCATCATCATCATCATCATCATCATCATCATCATCATCATCATCATCATCATCATCATCATCATCATCATCATCATCATCATCATCATCATCATCATCATCATCATCATCATCATCATCATCATCATCATCATCATCATCATCATCATCATCATCATCATCATCATCATCATCATCATCATCATCATCATCATCATCATCATCATCATCATCATCATCATCATCATCATCATCATCATCATCATCATCATCATCATCATCATCATCATCATCATCATCATCATCATCATCATCATCATCATCATCATCATCATCACCATCATCAATAATTTATTTGTTATCTTAATATACTTTTTTTCTTTTTTTACTTGTGGGTCTGGTCACGTCGGAAATTTCTTTGTTCCATAAAAATAGCTATTTTCAGAGTTCAAGGTAAACTTTTCACTGGTGACAATACTGATCCTTATAGTTGGTCAACAGATTTAACAAATTCATCAACTTTGGCTTATATTACATTGAAAATAAAATTCTGTACTTTTGTAAGTTGTTCAGTTAATTCTCTCTTTGTTAAATTTTATTTGAATGAATAGAATTTTGTAATTACAAGTTATAAAATGATGACCAATTTATTTGTAACCATGAATCGATCAATGTTAGACCACCATTAGAAACCTGGAAGCACTGGACGGCCGTTTCGTCTTGGTATGGGACTCATCAGCAGTGCGCATCCACGACTCCTGCTCCTCGCAGGATTCGAACCCGGGACCTTTGGCACTGTAGGCGAACGCCTCACCATCGGACCACTCGGCCGGCATCCAACGGTGTTAATGTCTAACTCTGATTGATCTAGGGATTTTGCGCGACCTCACCCATTTGTCTTTGGTAGTTACTGCCTACACCCGACAGGGTTGAACTCTATTGGTCACGTCTTCTCAACTAGAACTCCGAGAATTTCCTCACGAAGCTAGTCACTAGTGAGCACTGTTACGATATTTTGGGGCAGAGTTTTGGAGGTTTGCGTTTTTACACATTTGAAATCATTAATCAATCATCATTGTTAGACCACCTTTAGAAACCTAGAATGGTAAGGATCAATGTTGAAGTTTCACTAGTGCGGTTCAAAATTCAAATGAAAAACTATGCAAAAAAATTAATTCGGTAGTAAATTGCTTCATTCCAACTCATATGCATTTAAGATACACTTCGAAAAAGGAGTAATATAAATGATAAATTTGCACAGTTTTATGTCACAAATCGATGGTGTGATTGACTAGCAATATTGGACAATAGTTTACGATTGATAACTATGCAAATTCATCAATCTCTACAAATCATGTAAACTTAAAACAAAACAATCATATTACCCCGCAATGATCTATTGAATATTGTTCATCCCTGTTTTTTTTTCGTTTTTTTTTTTAAATAGATTATTGAAAGTTTAAATAGAAATTATTCAACTTTAGCTAAAAATGCCAAATGTACTAATGTTATCTTTAGTCCATTCACTTGGTATGTCAATATTGCACAAAAAAGACAATTTGCGAATATAAACAGTATTGAAGGTGTTCAAGCCAGTGCTGATATTGAATTATTCTATTCAAATGTTATTGATATCAATGAAAGTAAATTTGTGAATGTTTTAATCAAGCATGGAAATGATATGAATAAAACATTGAATGTATATTTATTAGATGTTGTTGTAGTTAGTGGTAAGTGAAATGATTAAAATTTTTTTGTTGTTGACAATTTAATGCTGAACATTGTTTATCATATGATCTTATTCAATAGACAATCACATCTGTTTTGGACATGATCCAATGTGTCAGTTTAAAAAAATAGAAAAAAGAGTAATTTATATACTACTGATAAGTAGTAGTCTAGTAGTTGTTTCATGAATTAAAACATTTCAAATATTTCTATGACCTGTAAAAAACTACATAAATCAATTTAAATTCTTATCTTTACTATTGAATCACTTTGTCATTTTCCGTTTATAATCCGCTCATGTATACTCTTGTTATTTAAGTATTTTATGATTGAATGTTGACTAAGTCACTTCAACTTTGGCATAACTTTGAATAAGCTTTGGAGTATCTTCTAGATCGTTTTGAATTTCACTATTGTCTTAAATCTGATTGGTTCGCCAGTAAATTAGAGTTCTACCAACTAGTACAGAAATGCTTCTTCTTTTCCCGAGTTAGTATTTATTCTTAAAAGCGACTTCACTTATTTCAGTTTACATTGCTAGGCGTATTATCGCTGCACTTTACACTTAATTTCATGGTTTCAATGTAAAACAACGATATCCATAATTCAATAATGCCAAAGTCATCAAAATACGCTCACTGGTGACTAGATTCGTACGGAAATTCTCGGACTTCTAGTGAGAAGACATGACTAGAGGAGTTCAGTCCTGTCGGGGATAGGCAGTAACTACTAAATTCCTTAGATTGATCAGAGTTAGACAGTGACACCGTTGAATGCTGGCTTGCTCGGTGGTCCAGTGATGAAGTGTTTGCGCTCAAGATCGAAATTCTAGGGTTTAAATCCTGTGAGTGGCAGGAGTCGTGGATGCTCATCGCTGATGAGTCCCATACCAGGTCATGACGGTGTTCCAGTGCTTTCAGATATCTAATAGTGGTCTAACAATGATGCATTTACGATCTCAATGTGAAACAACAATCTACATAATTCTATGAAGTAGTAACAATGGTAGCGAATATAGGGTGAGGAAGGAGCGATTGCAAATGTATGTATGACAGAATACTGAAATGTGAAATAGAAAAGAAGGTGAGGGGGCAGTGTATCTGCACCAGTGTGAATGATTTCAAGCGATTTCGCAGAGTCTCAAGGTACTCATCGTCTTCATCTTGCGGATCTTAACCGCGTAGTACACATTTACTAGCATGGCTTAAATGAATAGTTAATCACTTCATGAACTGATTCTGTCTTTATTTCATAACCTTGTATCTTGATCAAAACTTTTTCTACATAAGTATATATTTTCTGTCACTGTAAGCAGTGAATCGTTAGACCATAGACAAGTATTTCAACCAATCTAGGATTATTTTTGCATAGGAAAGAAAACTCATTAATCACTGAATGAGCTAGTAAGCGAGAGAGAAAAGACTCGTCGACTGGGCTACTACTTGAGTTATTCTTGACTCGAATGCTGTACAAAGCTATAGCTCACGAGGATTTTGAAAAATACAATTATGCCCGAACTAATCGTTTAGGATAGTGAATCACGTCTAACTTACAATAATTTTGGAATAAAACAGCATATGACAATGAATCATACATTAGCCGAAAACGCCGGATTTACAGAATAAGATAAAAACGAAATCAATGCCGGAATGTAACAGTCTTTGAATTAGACTTAATTATGTCTCAAAAATAACCTTGATCTATTGTTTCCCTCTTCGAATAAATATGAGATGACTGAAATTTAGTAGCTTGAAATTCTCTCAGAAAGATATACATATATTGAACGCAAGGTTCTACGTTAACTCAATGCCTAGAAATTGAAATGTTCAGTTAGCTTGAGTATTATCCGAACTGAACGTAAAATTAAATAACGAACTTAAATATCCGATAGTTTGACTCTAGTATGATTACCTTGTTAGTGTAAATGAAAATAAGGATTCTACTTACATTAAACATCTTCTGTCAATAAATCTTCTTTGATAATGGCACAAATATTGAAACTTTGAATAGAAAAGTTTCGAATGTTGATACTAGATACCCTCATTGCAGCAGACAGACGAAATGAACAAAAACGTGAAGAAGGTAGATGTGCCTACTCGAAATATTACTCATTATTATCGTTAATTTAACTCAAAATAAATAAATATACATAGTATCATAACGAGACAAAGTATTAGGCGAGTGTGGAAATCCACACTATCATTACAGAAATATTAATATACAATAAGCAGGACATGGATTTAAGAGGTACATTTACCAAGGATCTCAATTTCCTTAGAAACAATGACAAAAATGACTGAAGAGTCATACACACACACATACAGTTGGAGTTATTTGCGATCAGTCACATGAACGCTTAAAATATAACAAAAGGAGTTGCTACAATATCTTGAAAATCATCAGTGAATTCCTATGAGATACTGTTTAGAAACATCACTTGTTCTATTGAGAATTCAACACAGCGCTTGTTCAATGTGTTCAATTAAACAGAATAACACTGATTTATTTTGTAGTTATTATTATCATGCAAATAATTTTTTATTGTTTCACTTTTGATCAAATCTTTTTTTTTCTTGTTTGTTTAAAATTTCATTCATTCAAGTTATCTCGGATAAAATGACAACATTTACCAGTATATCGTCAACGAGTAGATCCACACAAAATACTACGACTATTTCATCAGTAAAACTGTCAACTCCGTCAACATCTATGACCAGTTCAGGATATGATTTGTTTAGTGATAATTTCTCGTTTGAAAATTTCGAAAATACTCTACCCCCATTAGCGGATAGTAAGTTTTTGATGGGGAAAAATGTTTCAATTTTTGATGATGAAATGTTGCATTGTAATACTTACTTACTTACTTACGCCTGTTACCCCCAATGAAGCTTAGGCGGCCGACCAGTTTTCTCCAACCAACTCTGTCCTGGGCTTCCCTCTCCAGTTCTGTCCAATGTTTGTTCATTCCTCTCATATCTTTCTCTATTTCTCGGCATAATGTGTTTCTTGGCGTTCCTCTTTTCCTTTTTCCCTGAGGTTTCCAAGTGAGGACTTGTCTTGTGACTCATTTGGGTGCTTTTTGCAATGTATGTCCTATCCACTTCCATCGCTTCTTCTTGATTTCCTCCTGGTTTGCTCTCTCCCACAGTAGGTTGTTGCTAATGATGTCTGACCAACGAGTCCGAAGTATTTTGCGTAGACAAAATGCATAGCTATAGTCTGATAAATTTCTTTCCATAATATCTACCAGAGAATGAAAAATGGTATTGTGTGATGAAACACTAGTTTAAACACAATAAAACAGTAGCTATTTTTATTTGATAAGACAGAAAGTAAAAAACGTGTATATGGTTTGAATTGTTTTTTCTGGCTAACGAGCTACTTTTCAGCGGGATTGGCTCGCTAGCCTCATGCCTAACCGCCCTTATTTATCCGGGCATGAGACCGGCAGTAACTGCAGAGGGGCTCGAAGCGGAGTTGAAGTGAAAACATACATAATAACCAGATGAAAGGGTATTTATTTTAACCGTGAACTCTAAACGTTTATATGATGTGCACTAATTAATGTATTAAATATTTTCATTCGAATGAATAATTACTTATGCTTGTAATTCCCTATGGA